TCCACCCCTAAATCTTCTTTTAAAAGCTCCAATTAAAAGCACTCTGCTGAACCTACACACGGCAAAGGAAAGCAGCAAAGGAACTCCCAGAGTACAGTTCGCTTCCACAGGGGGATAAAAAGTGCGCAACATAAGCGCACGGACATAGCGCGACAAACTATGCGAAATCACCATTCAAAGGAATGCATGCCTGCCAGCATAAGGTGATGATGTCACACAATACGTCATCACTTAAAAAAGACCAAAGAAGTGGGCTGATCTGGGCGAAGCTTAAGCTGGGGAGCCATTGAGGATTTCTTCGATCTCGGGTTTGCCACTACTGTAAAAACCCAGAGAATTTCATGGCCGGTATATTCTTCTCTCTCTCTAGTGGAAAGCTTGAAATTGTTAAGGCACTGCATAAGACACAAATTTGGGATAAGCTGGAAGCCATCTGAATATTTTGAGTGTAAGCGATCCTCCGAGTCCCATCTGGACAAAACTATAGGTGAGAAAATTACATGGTAAATTAAAAGCATTGCGTTTTTTGTACTCTAAGTAGAGACTTTTCTAAATGAATAGGAAACAAAACCTAAGTTCCACAACAAGGCGAATAAGATTGTTGAGGCTTTGATCTGGTGAACTAACTATGTATTTGTGGATTTTAATGAAAACACATGCACAGCGGAGGTCATAATCTGGCCATGTTTCTGAATGGCAATTCCGAATACAAAATTGTTTTTTTGAGCTTCGTCTTTGAGGAATGAAATATATCTAAATTACAAACTTAGAATGGATCAAGCATTTATAAATATATGAGGAAAGTGAAACAAACGATTAAGATTCGACTCTATAGAAATAACCCACAAATGTTTTGACTGCCCTCAAAGCTCAGTCAAGAGTCTCTTGCATGTTTCAGCCCGGTTCCTGAAGTGACGTCACTAGTAGCCTGACCCAGATCCCACTTTGCGCGGTTGCAAACATAGAAATTACATGTTTAAACGCTTGTAGAAATGCAGGGATTTTATCAATCGAGGTATTTTTTTCGCTGAAGTAATCAGGGAAACTAGTAGATTTTATTGAAGGGAAAAAAAAAAGTTTGGGGGGTTAGTGGCACTCTAACATTACAACTTAAAGTGCCCATGAAGTAAAAAATAATTGCTGCTTATTTGAAAGGCTTTACAAAGTGAAGGAGAATGGCATTTTCCTTTTTGGAACATCTTGTTTCATTTTAGAGATATTCATGTTTTTTGTGTCATGCAAATGAGGAAAGTGATGATGTCATAGTTGGTTTCTCCAAAACAGGACAACACTCAATCAAGAATAACTCTAGAAATATTAAAGCAGTGTTCTTCAAACGTGGCACCAGCAATGTACTTCACAAGAGAAACAGAGTGACACCTACCATGTTGTTGCCATGGCAATACTCTTGGCTCCAGTCTCTTTCTGTGAAAAACAAAATATTCCTATTTGTAACCTTTTGAAGTGGGACAGAGGGTCTTCCTGGCAACACACATGGTTCCCATATTGTCTTAACTCTCCCCATTAGATTGGTGGGCGTGGATGATCCTTGTTTAAGATAAAATCTGGGGATTTTAGTCTCAATTAAAACAGAACCAGCGGCATAACTGCTGTCTTGGCAACAGTACGATGGGTTACATTATGTTTCTTTTGTGATGTACATTTCTGGTGCCATTTGTGATGTGTCATGTAAATGCACATAACACATTCATTTTTGGTGGAACTCGTTACTTTATTAGTCTGAAGGAGCATTCAAAGCAGCTCAATTGTTACACTTAAATAAGCGTGATGTTTAGTTGTAATTGAATGATAGTTGCAAAATTTATGCATCATGCAACATACAAACTTCTCATAATCTTTTTTATCCAATTTTATATCACAAGTTGGCTCTAAAGCCAGTTTGATTTGCTATCAAAACGAGGAGTTCAGCAATTGTTTATATCCAAGGTAGACACATGCAGTCTTCAATTGCCTATTTTTAATTACTAGTATGAAAATGTTAATGTTTGTCAGACACTAACTGACTTTGTATACGTACAGTCGGTTGGGAATAACGAAGTGAAAAGATGAATCCATGTTTTTGAATAATTAGCAGAAAAATGTGCTCTCATCTTCTTGAACTATCAAGGGTTCGGTAAGAGTACTAAAAGAAGTGTTGTATGTAGATTAGCCAAACAGGCTGGCAAATTGTCAATCGTGACTTGCAGTGTGGCGGGCTCGAAAAAAAAAAATAATCGTAGCTAGACTCTGAATTGTTTTGCTAGATGATACAGTTCTTTCAATTAAAGTCTTGTCCATTTTTGATTAAATGTGAAGCGCAAATAAGCCAAATATGTTTTCACAGCCCTCAAAACCCAGTCAAACATCTCTTGAGTCTTAAGAAGCCTGACCCAGATCCCACTATGCTTGGTTGTGGGCGCAGAAATTACAACTTAAAACGCCTGTAGAAAAGTTGGGATTTTATCAACTGAGATAATTTTCTCACTGAAGTAATTGGGAAAACTAGTAGATTTCATGGAAGGAAAAAAAATTGGGGGTTAGTTGCACTTTAAGCATGAAACATGGTAAATATAGTCATAGGTTTGATTGTTCCTTAGGCCCCAAAACTGACTGGAAAATGCTGAAAATAGGATCTGCAAGTGTCTAAATTTCAAAATTTTCTGGGAGGGAGCACCCAGACCCCCTGAGGAGGCTCCCACCTTCAGTGCTTGACAAGTAGACTGCTGCCCCTCTCCTCTCCTACCAATATACAATGTAATTCAATTTAAGTGATGTAATTTCTGTTTTATGCGTTTTTTTTCTTCCTTACAAGCACTATCGGTTACTATTTACTTTCTTTACATTATATTTACATATTTATGTATTAGCTAGGAATTGGAGGAATAAATAAATAAATAAATAAATAAATAAATAAATAAATAAATTTGGGATGTCTACTTGAAAACTTATTGGCAGCTCTGAGTCCATGCGCTTCACACATGTGTAATCATGATGCAATCCCTTTGGCCGGTACTGTAATTTTGCACAGATAGAGACATGCTGTTTCTTGAGTTTCAGCATCAGGAATCTAGTAAAAAGCATTTCATAAATGAGACCTTCTATGGGAAAACGGACACTAACGCTTTTTCATTAAATGGTTAAGAAAAATGGTTCTAAACAGATACTAAACTGCTAACTCAAGTGTTTAAATGGTTTCCATAACCATTTAAACAGATAGCAAAAAATTTAACAGTTGACCAGAGTCAGAAAACGGATAGCTTAAAGCGTCAAACGGTCAACCAAAAAAACAAACGGTTAGCTTGACACGTTAACCGGTTGACCAAAGTCCAAAAACAGATAGCTTCAACCGTTAAACGGGTAACCAAAGTCCACAAACGGACACCAAAGGTTGAACGGTTAACCAAAGTTCACAAACAGACAGCTTAAACGGTTGAACGGTTGAGTTGGCGAGATCGTTTCCGGAAAAACTAGCAGTCTTACAATGTTAAACGGATATCTTTGAGCGTAACCATGGAGCATAAAAGCTGTAGATTGTTAATGATAACTGGGATACATTCTGCGAACGAAAGAAGTACTGTTGTATCTGATGAACTTTAGTCGGGCTACTTCAAAATTCATTTGTTCGCTTGCTCTCTCACTCTTGCATTCTATTTCTGGGTAAACTTTTGCCGCTTTCGTGCGACTTTACATTGATTCTCTTCCCTGACATTATTTTGTTGATTTAAGTGCAATTAACAAAGATCAGTTTCACTGCCAATATCTCGACTTGAACGGCTAGTGCAAGAAACGCTAAAATAACAAAAACCGTAACCTCTGGAAGCAAATTATACGTAACATTGTTGACAAGAAAATTTTTCAATACATGCGTACAACAGGTGCAACTAACTTTTTGTACTGTCACGAAACCTGTAATAATAACCATCGCAAATTAAGACCCCATGTTTCATTCACAATCTTCTTTTTTGTTCATTGCTGTTTTGGTTTGAAGTTGCACGAAACAAATTTGCATACGCGATGAACTGCAAATGCCATGACCTTGTCAGAAGCCGAGACGCGTCAGGGTCAAATAACGCAATACGCCAGAAATGATTCGCTTTCTAAAGAAATTTTGAAGTTTCAAGATAACAAATTTTGGACCTTTTTGTTTCAACCATAACTATCGAAACGGAATGCGCCACAATAAAAACTTGATGGCAGTATCGGCGTCCATGTGGCTATTCGCCAGATTCCCGCTAGCTTAAATTCATAGCCCAGGCACAAGATGTTTATCTTCCCAGTTTATCACTGTGG